GAAAGAATTCACTTGGAATTGTCAACAAAAGTGGCTGGGAATTGGATAGACTTTCTGGTGCCTTTTACTGGACATTTCTTGCTGTAAATTGGTTGGCTTTTTTGCTGGAAACTGTTGGCTGAGAATACAATTTCAATTTGCCTTCTTTTTGCTTGTTTTCTTAATGGAGAAGAAATGACTTGTTTCTTAGTCATGAAATAAAATTGACTTTATCTTAACATCAGAGACTTCACTTCAGAAGGTTATATCTTCTATGATGCAAAATGCCATCAATTATGTTTTTATTTATTTTTTATTTTTTTTATTTTACTCGAGCACGTGCTTATGGTAGTAAAATTAATGCAGGTTTGCTATGTGGCATTTTGGGATGACATTACCCTTGCCACTCAGGAAGAACAGGGGCATAAAGTTGGTGAAAACCATTTTATGGGCAAGTGGCGCATTGTAATTGTCAAAGATCTACCTTTTACAGATCAAAGACTGAATGGTAAAATCCCCAAGGTATGGAACTATTTGGTTTCTTGACTGCTCCCGAAAATTTGTTTGGATAAAGGCAATCCAGTACAACTAATCCTATGCCAAAATTGGTAGGGAGAGCTTCTGGGCCAATGCATACATTGAAATACATTAAAAATATAATCATTATTCAAATTCAGCGTACCATTTATGTTGTGCCTTCATCTGCACAAGACAAGCTGCAGCAAATCGCAAATGTGGACAATTCTTTCTCTTTATGTGGAAGCAATGATTATATCTGATTAAGCATTAATGTATTGAATGGTGCAAACTAGCTACTTTTGCTTTTGCATCCTTGAGACCCATTCTGTCAAGATTTGACTTTACTATTATTTTTTAATTTTTAAAATATCTTAAAGAAAACAGTGGAGGTTCTTAGAGACATGACAGATATTATTTTAATGTTCTTAAGAGCAACATTTCGCCAAGCTTAAAAAATGTAAAAAGTTATTTTTGAGAAACTTTTTGTTTCCAAAAATGTTTGAGCGTGGTTCATTTTCTTACTTCAAGTAAAAAGGTTCCTTGTTCAAAAGTAACTCTTTATCTTATTGTCAAAATAAGTAACTTACTATTTTCTATGTTTAACCAATAAAAAGTTATCTTATATGGTTTCATATCTTCTGATATATGTCTCTTGTGGCGTGACAAATTTTATGTCGATTTTCATCAGATGCTGGCCCATCGTCTTTTTGTTTATGCTAGATATTCCATCTGGGTTGATTAAAAGTCCCAATTTAGAAGGGACCCTTTGGGTGTGTTGGAAGCCTTACTTTGGCGTTCGAAAGCCCATCGTCTTTTTGTTAATTCTAGATATTCCATCTGGGTTGATTCGAAGTCCCAATTCAGAAGGGACCCTTTGGGTGTGTTGGAAGCCTTACTTTGGCGTTCGAATTCTGAACTTGCGATTTCAGAACATGGAGCCCGTAGTAGTGTGTATGATGAGGCAAAGGCTGTTGTTAAGAAAAACAAGGCAACCCCAGAGGAAGTCAAGATCCAAATAAAACAGTATCACGCGGATGGCCTCCCAGAGGACAAAAGATTTAACGGAAAGAAAGGTATGCTTGTGTTTTCACTTTTCTACCTTGTTTAACAATGCCATGATATTTTTTATCACAGTAACAAAGAAATTGAAAACCTTAGTCCCTTTAACTGATTAATTTTTAAGAAGTTACACGTGCACAGATTAAACCCAACATATTGTTCGAATAGCAAATTTAGTCCCTACTTCTAAAAAAGTGAACGTTGGTCTCAACCTTTCTCTGTAATTGGACAATGGATCCTCAACGGCACAGAACAGTCAAATCTATGTTAGATTGTTGGGTGGCCCTCATGGGAGCTTGTTCACTTCAAATTTCTAATCACGAGCCCGAGTTGGAATTCAAAGCCTAGATTCATAAAGACACGAGGACCATAAGACAATTTAACACAGGTTTGCATGTTTTCCGTCATGGGGGATTGATTGTGTAAGATGACTAACTTACTCCTTTTAAAATATTGGGAATCCATGGTACAATTTTGCTGCTTTACTTCTTGAAAAATGATATTCTGGTCCAGAACCGGAAGGTGAAAGACTGAAATTATTTTACACGACAGTGGCTTCTCCATCCTTGTTTAAGGGGATAACTCTTGCATCTGTCTAAGCTTTATAAATTGAATGAGATATTCATATGCACACTGCTGATTAATCTTTGCAGCTTTAGCTGAGGCTTCTATAATCGTGAGGAATCATACACCAACTACCAATTTGTTCATGTGCCTTTGGTTTAATGAGGTGGTTCGTTTCACTTCTCGAGATCAACTGAGTTTTCCGTATGTCCTCTGGCGGCTCAAAGGGTTAAGAAACATCAATATGTTCCCTGTCTGCACTCGAAAAGATCTCGTGAATAGCATGGGTCACGTACGCAAGGCTAAGCCTTTAGTAAATTAATTCATTTTTTAGGGGGCAAAATTTTTTTGTACATCTTTTATTCTTTTTGTAGGGTGGGAAGGCATGGTGTCACTTGTCCAGTAAACTGTTTTTCCTGATTAAATGCCATATGTAATTTTTATGATCAAATTTCAGTTTTGATGGTTATAAATACAGGAAATTCATTTCCTCAAATCACATTTCGAGAAACAAAAAACTATATGATGTGAAATTTCATGCGATTGTACTCCCAGGGAATTCTGTAAGGGTATTTTGACAAAGATTAGTGGTTGTATTCTTTTGTTTTGCCCTTGGAATCAGAAAGTGAAATATTCCAAGGCAGGAGCCTGAATCTTTTTTTCTTATTGATATTATAATTGCAATTAGCATTTCCTTGAGTTTTCCTATATTTTCATTTTTTTTTTTTTTGATTTACTTATAATTACATTTTTATGCTTAGCCAAAGAGGATTAGGTGCTGAGTTTGAAGGTGGAGTAGGTGACCAAAAAACCTTGATATGAACAAAAACACTTGATAGCAACTCTTTAAAGGTGGCAAATCCAATTCAAATCATCTCAGTTTGGCCAATCATTTGCACAATAATGCTGCAAAGAATCAGATCCTGTACTGCAGTTCTTTTAGCCATAGCTTCGGTTATACTTCTTGCTTTATTCTCCCCTCTACCCCACAGAGAAAACACCATGAGTCACTGGCTAGCCTTGTCGTTGTACATTCAACATCCCAAGGTTGGTAGTGCCGTCCCCATACCTTTGGCACCTTTGGCCGCCACCGGTGCCTTGATCTTTCATCACACGTTAACTGAGGGACTTGAGAACAGTTATTGGAAAAGCACAAGGATTCATAATTCCAAACGAGCATTTTGCACATTCGACATTCAATATTATTTATTTCACGTTTCAAAGGCAAAAATGTTCCGGCAGTATCAGTGTTAAGGCCAAAAATGTTGGCCATAAGAATAAAGAACTTAAAGTTGTTGGTGGCACGGGGTCATTTGCCTTTGCCCGTGGCCATGCTGCTTTTGCACAAACAAATGGTGAAAATTCTAATTTTGATGCAACTTATCATATAAAATTGCACTTGAAATTCCCTAATAGATCACAGATAATACTGGGATAAACTGCAATTTATCGATATTTTTTTTTTCTATTTTTCATTCGATTTTGATCATTTTGAGGTCACTTTTTGTTTTATATTGTTAGGTTGCAACAATTTCGATATAGGAGAAAGTCTAACTTGTATAGCAGAGCATACAATTTAAAAGTTTTGTTAGAATTTTTCTAGTAAAGCTTCACTTAATAATTATATAAATATTATTGTATGGCAAACTTTGGAAAAACTCTAGCTACATATGCATTTGCTAGGATTTAAAATTTTTATACTTCCAAGGGAATCTTCGAAATTGGC